CTGCATTTCATGGAGAACCCCATCCATATGTCGTAAGTTTCAATCTACTACCTTTGGGAGGGGTCCAGAGGGAAAGAAAACAGAAGAAAAATAAAAGGAAAAACTAGGAAAAAAAAAAGAAAAAAAAAGATAAAATTGTATTTGTAAAAGGTACTGTTGTATTCTTAAAAAAAAAAAAACACCACCAAAAAAACTCCAACAAAGAAATTTGGGTAAATAACTGGAAGACAATCTCTCTTACTAAAATGAAACTATGGATAGTAACTTTACAAGTGGTGTGATTAATGTCTGATTAACTTTTCAATCATGTAAATAAACACTAGTGCATGCTAACTAAAATCAGTGATTCAGTCAACTGATTTTTCATGTTTAATGTGTAATTCTATTCTATGCTTTATAAATTTCTTTATTTCAAAAGGTGGTAAAAATGTAACAACTTTATTAAACTAGCAAAAAGACAATATACTTTTCGCCACCTATGTGATCATGCTGATCCCATGGGATTTTTACCAAGCAAAACTGAGAGACTATAGAGCTGAAAGATCAAAGGTATTTTCCTGACATTTCCCCTTCTTCTAGCTCTGTTCTGTGATTACTACAACCCACAAGGGGAGTGTGAGTGGCACTACAAACCATGTGGAGCCCCTTGTATGAAGACATGCAATAATCCAAGTGGGAACTGCCTTCATGAGATGAGAGGTTTAGAAGGTAATCATAATAATGCATATCTCATTCCAGTTATGAAAGGTTAAAATGCAGAACGATTAGCAAAATTTAGATTACTTAGTATATGACATGCTTGTAGCAAAAATGGTAAGAAGAGACTTTCTAATTTAGTATCTTACTACCTAATGGATCGTGTACTTGTTTGAAGATGAGAACAAAATGCTCTGAATGTGCAATCAAAATAGCAGTAAGAGGATCTGAAATTCCACTTAGCACATGGGACAATTTGGAGAAAGCAGATATGAGTGTAAAGTTACTTCTACTTTAGTTTCAACTTGACTCTTTTTATTGCAGGCTGCTATCCACACTGTCCAAAAAATAAGCCTTATTTTGATGAAGAAACCATGACCTGTGTTTCTAATTGTGGTTGTTATGAAAATGGGAAAAATTACAAACCAGGAATGGAGATGCCTCCAAGGCAGAATTGTGAATCATGGTAAGATTAGTAAAGATTTTTTAAAATCAAGTTTAAAGTTGTGGAACATAATTCATCACACATTAAATTTGTTGTTTACCAACAAGAAGCAGCCTTGTCAGAGGTTGATGAATAATGTCTAATTTTCTTCCCTTCCCAGGAACTTAAGTGATAACATGGCAAAACATTTTACCATTGTGAGATTAATTTACTTAGTCTGCATATTTATTAGAGTGCTTTTAAATTATTATGAACATTATTAAATCAAATAAAAGGAAAATAAAATAACAGTTAGGGAATAGTCCTAGAATTTGTATTAAGATACCCCTAAACTCATCATACGAAATTCTTTAGAAGTTAGCAGCCAACTCATCTCCACGGTTTTGAGCTTGTTTCTGCTATTTCACTGGTACTTGCATAGTTGTAACTGTCAGCAAGTATTCCCACACTTTACTCTTGAGAAGTTGGGGCAAGTGCTGCTAAGCCTTCTATAAAACAGTATAAAGTTAGCAGAGCCAGTTGTTAAGCAGTTAACAACTGTCTTAAGACATCTTTAAAGTTGCTATGCTTGAATAAGGTAAGTAGTGCAATGCAAATGGCAAAAAATCTTAACAAACACAAAACCCATTTGATCTAACCCAACTTCTTGGCATGTTTTGCAGTTCATAGACAGCTTTGTCTACATTATCTAGGCCATTAACAGCCCTAAACCTAAAGCAATAAGTACATATTTATATTTATATTTAAGTTTATTCAGTGTATGGATGCCCTTAGTCACTGTAAATAAGTACATCAAGATTCAATTCTTAAAAAACAATAGATAAATTCCATTTAAAACCAGAATGCGTTCTTGCATCTTTTGGAAGTATGATGGAAATTTGCTGTGTAGATTACTTCAACATCCATGATACAGTGATTCTTTGTATATATCCTTACAAATGTAAATGATAGATTTACTGCATTTTCCCTTCCAAAAAATAAGTGGACCTATCAAGGTGATGAGAACATTTCAGATAACCCTTGTTCACACCTTTCCCCAGCTCCCAAAAGCACTGATAAGGTTGCTGCATGTTTCATGGGCTGGCACACAAGAGTTACTCTTCTTGCCAGAGAACTGCATGAAGATACCTAGCCTGAATTTGTACAGTAGAATTGAATAACCCAGGCAAGACAGGAGCATTCTACATTTAAACAGGCAAAGTATAGATTGATAGAAAAAAAAATGTGAAACAAAAAAATAATGTCATGAACTGATATATTCACATTCATAATCTCATTTTTTCTTTCTTCCAGTGAATGCACAATTCATGGCAAGGAATGCAGATATGATGAACGTGGTATGTTAACAAAGTTGTTTTTATATGATTAGGATGCATTTAAGGTATTCTGCTCTGTGTCTCAGATAGCAAGGTATAACATCCTATCTTGATTTACAGAATGTGTCTGCTTCTATGAGGGACAGAAGTATAACTACAAAGATGTGGTTTACAACACTACAGATGGAACAGGAGGGTGTATTGTTGCAATCTGTGGTGCCAATGGAACACTTGAAAGGGTTATCTATGAATGTCAAACCTCAACACCCACAACTGCAACAACATTTCATTTCAGCACTACACCACCTGCCAGTACTTCCACAGGTAAATCCTTCATAGCCCATAAGTTTATTCTGTTTATTAGTGAGTAAAATTTAGCTACAAAACCATGTCCACACTCACAGCATGAATGAATTAATACAACCTCACAATAAATTAGAGCAGTAACAAGGAAATAAACATAGAAAACAAATCCGCTTCTGAAACACCATTATTAAATTACATCCTATTAAATTAAGATTGATAATTTTAAAAGTATGCTCAACCCTACAGGATCACAATACAAGAAAAATTACACTAGGAAAATTGTCTGCCCATTCAAAATAACAAAAAAAAATATATCTACAGGAATGGATTTTAAGTTTCATGGTCTCTTCCTTTTCTCCTTTGCAGTGTCACCAACTACATCAGTATGTGTTCATGAGGTCTGTGAGTGGTCAGAATGGTATGATGGCAGTCTGCAAACGCCTGGCTATGACGGTGGAGATTTTGAGACCTTCAATAACTTAAGAGCTAAAGGCTATGAAGTCTGTAAAGCTCCACGGGATGTTCAATGCAGAGCAGAAAAATTCCCTGATATACCACTGAAAGACCTTGGCCAAAAAGTAGAATGCAGTACAACAGTTGGGCTTATATGTTACAACAAAGACCAAATTTCAACAATGTGCAACAATTATGAGATCAGAGTCCTGTGCTGTGTTTTTGTACCATGCTCTACTTCAACATATCCAATTTCTACAACTTCTGAAAGTACAACATCAATACATTCAACATCTGAAGAAACAACAACAACCACCATAATGACACCACCTGCCACCACCTTTCCTTCAACACCACCTCTTTGCTTTAAAGAAAAATGTTACTGGTCCAGATGGTATGATGTCAGTTATCCAGGGTCTGGTTACGATGATGGAGATTTTGACACCATTCAGAACATTAGAAAAAAGGGATACAAAGTCTGTGCTAACAGAAGAGAAGTGGAATGCAGAGCTGTGAGGTTCCCTGAAACACCATATCCTCTCCTGGAGCAAAAGATATTGTGCAATACAGAAGAAGGCTTAAAATGTTACAATAAAGACCAATTGCCACCCATTTGCTATAATTATGAGCTAAGATTTAAATGCTGTGAAAATATAACAGTACCATGCACAACAACGACGGAAGGTATTACTATTACAAAAACAACATTTTGGTCACCAGTATTCAGTACAACATCCAAAGAAATAACAACAACACCGCACTTAATAACAAAACACAAGACGACAACGCAAGAGACGACTCCACCACAAACAGACTATATTCATACAAGAATTACAACAAAACCAACAACACAAACGCAAAAACCAACACCTACTATGCCTACCATAACAACCAAACCGATGACATCGACAACAACCCCCTGTGAACCCGAAGTGTGCACCTGGAGCGAATGGTTTGACGTCGACTTCCCCTCCGCCGGGCCCAACCAGGGAGACTTTGAAACCTACCAGCACATCCAGGCCGCTGGGAAGCGCATCTGCCGGCGGCCAAAGGAGATCGAGTGCCGGGCCGAGGACTACCCCGACGTTCCCGTCCAACAGGTCGGGCAGGTCGTGCAGTGCGACGTCCACTATGGACTGGTGTGCAAGAACGAGGACCAGACTGGAAAATTCAAGATGTGCCTCAACTACAGGATACGCGTCCTCTGCTGCACCCCCAACTACAACTGCGTAAGCCCCTCCACCAGGCCTACCACCACTTTTACCAGAAGTGAAACTTTCCTGACGAGCTCTCCATCTCCGTTCTCAACAACTCCATGTTTCTGCAAGATTGGTGATTCCATTTTTTCACCCGGTTAGTTTCTCTTTTTTGCAGGAATAGGTTTCGTAACCTCTCCTTTTTTTTTTTTTTATTTTACATCACCCTGATTTTTTTTCTTTTTAGTACATTGTATTTATGAACTTTTTGCATTGTTACTTTTTGTACTTTTTTTTTTTCCTTTTTTTGATTTCTCCTTTTTCTCTGTTTGTACAGGTGATTTGATTTATGACAGAATGGATAGTGATGGATGTAGATTTTATGCCATCTGTAGCCCAACATGTACTATTGAACGACACTCTGTCCCTTGTCATGTCACTACTCCTGTAGCCACTACTTCCTCTGAGTGGTCTACCACAACATCATCAGTTCCTCTGCCAACCACTACAAAAACTCCCCATGGCTGTGTTTCTACTACATACCCTCCCCTAAAGGTATGTAATTTTTGACTTATGATATTTGAAATATTATAGCTTTTTAGGTGACAACAGGTAACAGCTTTTAGTCCATAAAGCTTACATGTACAGGTTGTTGTAATTACTTTACTAGTGATGGGCAAAATATGACTTAAAATTTGATTTTTTTTTTTTTTTAATTTCAGGGTTTTATACTGATAAAGCACGTTACATTATTCTTTTCTAATTACTTTACTGATGCATTGCATCAATAATAAAACCTCTCTGCCATAATAGAATGATTTTTCTTGTGGATCATATTGTTTCACTAAATAGAAATATTGAAGCTACTCTGGAGACTTGTATCTGCTTCTCTTCTCCTGCAGTGAAGTGCACTGTACATAGTATAAAGGACATCAGTTCCTTTAACCTAAGACTTATCTCCCTAAACTCCAGAAGAGCTCCTCATGCAGAAGAAACGGCTCTAATTAAGGTTCCCACCTTCTTTTAGCATTAATTAAACTTATCACGTAGATTATTGGCAATCTTTTGCTATCAGTGAAGATTTTTATTTTAGTCTTTGCTTCAGATTTAGTAATGATTATACCTATTTGCTATCTTCTGTGACAAGAAATTTTTGTTCCTTTGCAGCCTGGAGAAAGTTTCAAATTATCCAACTGTACAGAAGTCATCTGTAAAGGAGACAATGATATAGACGTAGTACCAACATATTGCCCGCCTGTAAAGGAAATTACCTGTGCAAACAAATATCCTGCAGTCCTAGTACCTGATGAAAATGGCTGCTGTTATCGATACGAGTGTCAATGTAAGCACCAGTAGATAAAGGAATAAGCTTTTTTGAAAAAAAGCAAAGGTTTGCAAGGCCTACATGGGCATTTTCTTTTCTTAGGGTTGCTCTTTAAATTACAGTATATTCACTTGAGTTTCTCAATCTTTCTTCTTCGTTAGTTCTCATCTTAATCTTGCAAATATTTCCTCCATACCAGGTGTGTGTAGTGGATGGGGTGATCCTCATTACATCACATTCGATGGAATCTATTATACTTTCCTTGAAAACTGCACTTACGTCCTGGTGAAACAGATTGTCCCTAAATATGACAACTTCCGTGTTTACATTGACAATTATTACTGCGATGCAAAAGATGGACTCTCCTGCCCTAAATCCATTATTATCTTCTACAAATCTGCAGAAGTGGTGTTGACTCGGAAACTCATGAATGGTGTGATGACCAATGTGGTAAAATACATTTTTTTTTCTCTATTTTTACAAAAAAAGAAATAAGGTCCAAAAGCCTTACTGATACTCATTTGAGATACAGTCTATGAGAATATCATGTTGCGGAGGTGATGAGGGCAGAGGTATTGTTATGGGGGTAAAACATAGGATTGCAGTGGATTCTAAGGTCCTAAACAGCTTAGCATGCAAATAACACTAGGAAACAGACTAACAGAGCTGATAGAGAAGGCACAAAGAATGCTCACACTGGTGCTTGATTCATATTTCGTGAAAATTGGTGCATTGTGCTATTCACTTATGTAAACAAACAGATAATGAACAATCACAAATGCAAGTCACAAGTGTGATTCTTCTCTTAGAGTGAATATGGGTATGTATCACTTGTCAGCTGGATGACAAGCGACTGCTTTCTCTGCATAGGAAACTTCAGGTGCCAAACAGAGCCCTCCATGCCAAACATGACTCCTCCTCCCATATCCTACTGGGAAGAGAGGTATAGCTGAAGAAAACGGTGACTTGGAGCATCACCTTCGCAATCCTGAACTAGTGCTGGCAAGCCAGTGAAAACGAAAAGTCAATCCCACTCTTACACTAAGGAATTTATTAGATAGAGAATGCAAAGATGGGGAGGAAAAGTTTGTCTTAACAGGCACTCTCCCCTTACAAAGCCATGCCAAAGTCTCAGTCAGAAAGGCATGCTGGTTCTAGTGATTCCCCGTGAAAGAAAAAAGTAACTGACAGTTTTAACTCAAAGTGCACTGAGCAGAGAGTTGCAGAACAACTTTTACAAAAAAGCTATTAGGCAAATATGTTCACCTTCATTAGCTCATATAAGATACTGGCTGCAAACTAAAAAGCTTAGGCTAACAAATAAATATGACCACTACATAAAACTGGCACTAGGAACATCTGACTTCATTTTGAACTCAGATAACTCCTCCAATGCCAATTAATGTGTTGTATAGGGACAGTGTGATTATCCAGCAAAGTTATTACATAATGGCAGAAATATTTCTGTAGCTAAAGAAAACTACCACTCACTTTCATAGGAAAAATATTTGCAATACACAAAATTAGGAGGATAAAAAGAAAATACTTGAATATAGAATACTGTGCATTAGCACACAGTCTGTAAAAATAGAGTACATAAAGGCCACTTAGTTTATTATCACATTTTACCAATATAGCAGTTCAAGCTGAGATATCAATGCAAATATATGCTATTACAGAGATGCCAGTGAGTATTGGATGTGATGCAAAACTATATGGAGTTATGCAATAATCATGAAGAGTGGAAAATTTAAATATGATTTAAAACAATCAGGCTGAAGCAGTGCTTATTCTGAAGTTGTGTTTTGTTGTTTTTTTCCTTTTTTTAACCCTGCATTTAGATGTACTTCAACCAGAAGATTGTCAAACCAGGCTTCGAGAAAGATGGCATTTCTTTCTCCACTCTTGGCATCAATATGATTGTTGAAATAAAAGAGATTGGTGCAACTATCACCTTTAGTGGTCTAATCTTCTCTGTGAAACTCCCATATAGCAAATTTGGCAACAACACCGAAGGACAGTGTGGTAAGATGAATGCACTCATTGGAGATGGTGCTCTTTCCCCACCCTACCGTGGTAGTTCTCACCCACTCTGGCTATGCAGTCTCATGACTGACAGAAATATTTTTAAGAGCAGTAAAATGGAAATGAAAACAGTTCTGCTCTTCAACTTCTTTAGGATATCAAAAGTTCAATATTTCAGCAATCAGGTTTTTTTTTCTTTGGGGCTGGGGCTTTAGACTTGTTTGTTTTTCTGTAACCTAAATTAAAGTTCATATAACTGTAAAGAAATCACTACCTATGAAGCAAGGTACCATATGCATTTCACAAGCATATCTAGATATATCGGCACGGAAATATATTGTGCATTTCTGATGTGGCTTATGAGACTTACTCAGCTTGTTTCTTCCAGGAACATGTACAAATGACAAAGCAGATGAATGCCGCTTACCAAGTGGTAAGATCATTTCTTCCTGTCCCCAAATGGCTCATCACTGGATTGTTGACGACAACAAGACATGTCATGGAGTACCAATACCACCAGTTATAACCACACCTTCACCAAAGCCTCAGTGTGAAACACCTCATCTCTGCAAGCTTATCCTGAGCGAGTAAGAAAAAAACCTGAACAAACTGTTTCTTTCTAGACAAAACTTCCAGTATCTTAGAAGAAGAATAAAAACTATAGCCCTAATAACAGCTGAAAATGCTTGCCTAATGATAGAATATATACATATATGTATGTAGATATAGCAAAACGCCTTTGAAAAGAAACAGCTCTGCCTAAATGACTTGCAAGCCAAAGATAACTGAGCAAGGAGAGGTGAAGTCAGAATATAAGGGATGCAGCAAGCACTAAAATCCATATTCCCTGGTTTCAATACAACCAGGGGATGCTTAATAACTCTTAGTTACAGTATTAAGCAAAGGCTTAACTCTACATTCGAAGTGGGTCTTCAGTACAAATCTTAAAGAACCTGGTTATCAAACAGGTTAAGAAAGCAAACATAAACAGCCAAGAAGCATTCTTCATTCTTTATACATTTTATGTAAACATGGAGCTCCAAAAACACAGATGCTTGTTTCCTGAAGTATTTCCTATATCTGTGTATGCTGAAAACAGCGCTTTTTTTCAGCTGAGTCATTTATAAAAGCCCTCTTACATGTGCTTTCTGTAGTGTCTTATAAGTTCTGAGCTATTTTCTGTGCAGTTTTTCTATCTCTAGCCTACCTTTGTCATCTTTTTTCTCGACCTGGTGCAGTTGCCTTTTACACTAAATTTGTGGTCTCAGACTGAAGAAAAGCTGTGTACACATACAGAAACACTATGACCATTAACCTCTTCAGAAAATAAAAGGAGCTTCAGATTTCCTAATCCTTCCTGAACCTATCTTCAAGCTTATTGGCCATTCCTAGGCTTTGCTTCTTCACACCTTCCTTTCTGAAGCAGAAAGTCACATGCTATTAACTGGAAAGTGTTGTCTCACAGGAACACTTTATATAATGGCTCACTAACATAGAAGGGGCTTTCTTTACTGTCTGCAGGATTTTTGCAGAATGTCATACTGTGATACCACCAGAACCATTTTTCAAAGGCTGTGTTTTTGATGGATGTCGCATAGATGATGAATCCATGCAGTGTTCCAGTTTGGAGATATATGCTACAGAGTGTGCATCTAGAGGTGTCTGCATTGACTGGAGAGGAAAGACCAACAATACATGCTGTAAGTATTGCAGAACTCAAAATGGGTGTGATGAATGGTAGAAGTTAGTTTTTTATTCAGTAGACATGTTTTCTATCTAACACGGCTACTGTTGACAAAAATCCAGTGGGGTCCTTTCTCACAGAAGCTGCAGACAAAGGCAAAGCTGTAGTCATTTTTGTGGCAAAAATACATCTACTGCCAATTTTTAATCTTTTTTTTGTCTTTTTCCATACAGCATTCAACTGTCCAGAAAGCTTGGTATACAA